TGTCCAAACTTTTAAAAGAATGCAAACTGGACCATAGGGTAATTTTTATAAAACGAAGATCATAATTTCGAAACACCCAAATGCAACCTTATGCTTATATTCATCCACGGCTTGTACGAAATAGCTAACCATTTTGTTCAAGCTTTTCTTGTTCGTGTCCTTCTGTGGACCATTCTGCTCCACCTGAGTGTCAACTTCAGAGCTCTTCTCATTCACAATCTGCTCCATCTGTGCGTCAACTTCCGAGCTCTTCCCATTCACAATCTGCTCCACCTGAGTGTTAACTTCAGAGCTCTTTTCATTATCAATCGTTCCATCTGAGTGTCAACTTTTGAGCACTTCTCATTCACTACCTGCTCCACCTGAGTGTCAACTTCCGAGCTCTTCTCATTCCCAACCTGCAAAGGACTATTAATTTTATCAGACTGTTCTGGTTCTTCTTTTTCGATTTCATCAAGATCAACATGTTCAAAATGATTGGATTTTTATAGTACAAAACAACTCCAAAGACTCGAACAAAACCTCAAACATCAGAAAAACTAAAACAAATCTATCAAAAGAATCACATAAACATAACAAAAAAATCAAAAGGCTCTTTCACAACACAATAAACAGTAAAAACCCCTCAGCTAACAACAAAAACTCCATCGAAATCACGAATTAAAACCCAAACGCAATGAGGCACAAATGAAAAAAAAAAAACAAAAACAAAACAAAAGGCAGCGCCTTTATTACCTTGAGGATTCCCAAAAAATGGAGCCGAAAATCCAAATTGGCTTTCTTTTATTTCGACTGACATCGGGAGACGATGGCTAGGGTTTCATAGGAGACAAATCGGGAGAGCTGGACAACTTTTTGGCAGAGAAGAAAATGGATGCTTACACATCGTACTGGCTCGCCAGCCCGTCGGGTCTCCCTCTCTCTCTCTCTCTGGCTCGCCTCGCAGATCTCGCCTCATTTTCGCCTTCGCAGCTGCTTCTTGCACTGTCTCCGGCATACCGTGTTCCGTAACCTTGTTGTTGTCGCGTTCTTTTGGCTTTCAAAAATTTGTTTTCTTTTTTTATTTTCGGAAGATCTCTGGGAGAGGATTTTTGGAGAGGCTGGAGGATTTTTGACATCATTCACACGGCATTGTATGGGTGAATGCAGAAATTGTGGGAATTTGGTGGGAGACGTACCCGAGAAGAAAAAGGGAAATAATTGAGGGGCAACAGTGTAATAAGTAGCTAATTGCAGGAGCATTTTTCTCCCAAAAAATCGCCACGTGCCAGCGCCACAATCCCTTACACTTTTTCTTATATGTAAGAGAGAGATATGGAATGGTTTAATCTCCTTTAAGTTTATGATAAGTATGTGGTATATTTAGCTCAAATATATACCAAGTATATACTCTGTCAAGTATATGAATCTGATTAGTATATTAATAATACTATATCACACTAGTTCATTTCCATTTGGCATAATTTTTGCTATTTTCCTCCCAAGTACATTGCTAGTTTATGTAAAGTATATGTGAAGATTTTTTCTATATCTCAGTTACATGGAATTGTTTATTATATGTCAAGAATATGCTACGTATGTTTAGGGTTAATTTTGTTAGTGTTATATACTGAAAGTTTGGCTTTGCATGTTATTACACATTTACCCTTTATGAATGAGAATTATGTTAGATTAAACAAGTTCTACGTTCTGTTGTTCTGCACTTAGATAGGGTGGGTCGTCATCGGGCGAACCGAAGATCACTCTATCATGCGAACAAGAATAGTTGTTCACAACCTAGATGGACATGAACACCCCATCCGAACGGTTGTAGTGTCAACTGTACAGTTTGTCTTGACTGATTAGTTGCACTAGTACATTTATGTATTGAACAGGATCCCAGAGAGGAGAAGTTCATTTTATACTGATCGTCGTAAATGAACTAGGCCTCGGTTAATTACTGCGTTCTCTTAACCCGTAAGATATTAAACAGGCAGATATATATAATATATATTACTTTGATTCACATGGGTGAGGTTCAGTTCGCTGGATTAATATTCCTACTGTTTTGGGTAATATTATTATATATAGGATGTGCTGTTAGGATATTTACGGTCACCATGTGCGTTAGTTTGATGATGTCCACGGAGTGAATTCATGAAGGATTGTTATGCTAAACCCTGCAGGTGGATTAAGTTCCGGCATAATAAGAATGTGATGAACGAGCGCTAGGTTCGGTGAAATAATAATAAATTAATTAATTTTTGATTGTCAGTAATCGAATTAATTAATGGACATTATATCTTAAACGTGGGGAGGTAAATCGAATTAATTAATGACACATTCCCCTTGATCAACTTAGAGGACCTTGATTGATGAACAAAGTATATTAATGTCATAATTGATTTTGCCTTATTTTCTTGGGGAGAAAGAGACTGATTTACGTCGATTTGGGGCAAACTGAAACGAGTATTTTGCATTACAAAATACAAAATAACATTATAAACGTGTTGTCATTACTTTAATTTGAGTGGGTCCAGTACCATAAGTATCGAACCAAATTTTAATCAAATGCATTGCAAGACCTTGACTCTCAAGTCAATGCTTGTTGTCATTACTTTGAGCATGAAGTAAAAATAGGGTCCTTGCACGCATTGAATGCTGTTTAATTCATATAAACTCATTGTTTTTTTTTTTTAATAAATTTTTGTGTGTACTTTCTCGTGCAGAGATGCAAGGTTTACAGAGTTTCGACTGATTTTCTCACAAACATTTCCCCTTTCAAACGTGTTGGAATTTTTTTTGTGACTAATTTTGAAATGAACAAGGAGCAAAAGTAAAATGTAGTTTTGTTATTGAAAATTATTTTTCTCCTTGAAAGTAAAGAATCTCCAATTTGGTTGCTTGAAGAAAAATTGGCACACGCACATAAAATGATTTACCTTATTTTTATCTGGAGGAGTTTCTGTTTTACGTGGTCTATGGAAAAATTGAAAACGGGTCTAGTCGTGTTTACCAAGTTGCAATTTGGCTATATACTATTACTAGTTGGCACGCACAGCCTGCCTAAATTCAGTCAACAATCAAGTTAAAGTTTGGTCTCAATAAGACGTACGCACGACCCACTTCAGTCTTTAATTTGTCTAGAAGACCAAGCTATGAACCAATATGTCCAAAAAAAAAATAAATAAACATGCACCTATTTATCCCATTCCATAATATGCCACCTTCAGGACTCTGCATTTTACCATACATCATATTGGGCCATCCAAATAAACTGGGATCAGTAAAAACCAATGTGGTCAAAGCATTCAGGCATTTACTTATAATTCAGAGTTTGTGTTAGGCTCTATGGATTTGTGTTTCACAACTTTGGAGGGTCATAATGCATTTTTTTCGGTTATGCAGAATGTGTCCATAAAGAAAATATTTTGCCATGTGCAATAAATTATTGACATCATAATAATGGGTCATATCAAGATAGTGAGCTTCACAGTACAACGTTATCTTGTTCTTAGGTGTGAACTCGACTTGGATGCCATAACAAAATTTTTTTTTTTTTGGTACAATGAACCTTCCGGTTTCCGAATCCCCTAGGGGACCGACTAATCCGGAATCGAGCCGGGTAGGACCACAAGGGCGGCAAAGCTCTACCTCAAGAGTTTTAACACAGCTGCATTCCCAGGGCTCGAACTCGAGACCTCTGGTTAAGCTGGGAGATGCCATAACAAAATTTGACTCTGTGATTTTGAGATTCTTGGACAAGTTGAGCTATCCTTTCCATTAAGGCTGATGAACCCAATAACTCGAATCATGACTATTCTTTAGGCTCAAGTGCCGCAATTTCTTTAACTACATGTGCTTTATTAGCCGCAAATTGTTCATCCTCTGCAACAAACAGGAACCAGTCTCAGAACACAACTACCACTTGGACCGAAAAAACTAAATTAATATCTCATGAATATTGAATTTTGCTCATTCACCTTTCTCGATTTTAAAAGCTTGTTTCGATTACTGATGAGAATCCTAACTATAACAGGGATTTTGTTCTGATCAGCCGCAAATAGCTGCAGACAAATGTGTAAGCTCAGAGCATATTATGATACGAAGTGCATAAAATGTTACACATGCATCTCTGCAAAAATTACGTACACATGAGGTGATCAATGGGAAGAGTAAGCAGGATATGGGAGAATACTCGTCGAGGAAACCAAAAATC